CAGTGACTGGTCAAATCCGAAGTGGCTACGCCATTGTTACTTTGACATGCACTGTTGAAGCCAACTCACTTCCACCATGCTCAGCCCAGGCATGTGAACTCATTGCCCTGCCAAGAGCTTGTGTTCTGTCTGAAGGAAAAACTGTAAATATTTACACTGACGGCAGGTACGCATTTGGTGTTGTTCATGATTTTGGAGTACTATGGAAACAGACGGTTCCTACGATCGGATGGACAAACTTTTTTTTTTTTAGCTCAGTTTGAGTGTAGAAACATTGTGAAGTGTTTCAATGCACTTATCATCATCGCTCAATTTTTTTTTTAAAGAATGAGAAGAAAGAAGAAAGAAAAATATATAAATAAAAGAGAAATGGATAAAACGAGAGACCACCATGACAAAACAACATGCACAGCACAATGCCACCCACAATATCACCATGAAACATTCGACATGGCACAAGGAATCATCTAGCTTCCACCACTACCCAACCTAGCGTGCATCTGTCAAAGCACCTGAATCTAAACACCCACGCAAGCACACCCGCCACTACCAGATTTCTCCAAAAGAATGCCCAATAGTGGATGCGAGGTCCCACAGAACCACCCCCCAGGACACAATGGCAACACAGAGAGGACCGGAGCCACAGACACACAGCGGCCCGGAGCCCCAGGAGTCTCCCAACAGGGAGAACCGCACCCCCCAGAGAGGAGCAGAGGAAAGAACCAGGTGACCCCAGCAACCACAATGCAGAGCCTCCAGGAAGATGCAGCGACGAGCCCACAGGTCCGGCCGGCAACCCATAGCCCCCCCTCCCCAAGTAGATCCGGCCATAGACACCAAGCCCCAAGACCCGAGGCCATACCACCCCCCAACAGAGCCCCGACAGAGCCAGGGCACCCAGGCCCCGCCAGGCAGCAACCAGGGCGGATCGACGTACACCCCACCACCCAGCCCAGATGCCGAGAGCCACCAATGCACCAGCGGCAAGGGGCCCCCCCGCCAAAGGGGGGCACGACCGGGGGGAGTGGGCCCCACACCAAACGTGGGGCCCAAATTGGTCCAAGAGAGGGGGGACCACCAAAAACCCAACCTGAGCCACAAACAGGCACACACAGATAGCCCGACAGAATCTCTGTCGGGCCGACCGCATGTACCATCTACCTGACAGCGACCACAGGCCGGCCCCAGCCCAAGGGGCAGAGCAGCAGGGAGCTGCAGCCGAGGAGGGCCAGCTTTTCACATCAAGAGCTCCGCACCATAGGCCCGGAGACGCCCCAGCACGCCACCTACGCACCCCCCCCCCCACACACACACTCAGCACCCCCACCACAAATGCCACACAGGAAGACCAGCCAGTGCCCTGAAGAGGCGAAGCTACGCCCACAACCGCCACCCTACATCACCAATGACTACACGTACACTACCATAGCCGACCCCCCGCCGAAAGCCGGCAGCCACCCCGGTCAAAGTGCCGGCCATCGCAACCAGGAACCTAGATTAAAAGAATAGGAACAGCCCAGGGGGAACCGAAGCACCGGCCCCATCACCAACAGCCCCCAAGGCCCAAAGCCCACCCACAGCCCAGACCCCAACAATGCGCCCCCCCCATCCCCGACCAGGAGAAAGGAGGTGTTTGTGAAAGAAAAAATAAAAAATAAATAAAAAAATCTATATATGCATAAATAAATTATGAACAGACCCACTTCCTCCTCCTCCCACTCGAATATGGTGTTGATGCATGTTGTTATACAGTGCGTTTAAAATGGGGGGATGAGGTGGCGACTGGCACAGACCCACCTCTTGCCCAGAGAGCAGGCGGTGCCCGTTCACCCCTCATCTCTGCCCAGAACCCTAAATGTCTACATGCTACATATGAGAGTGGGCACAGGTACGGGAGATGGAAATGATTGTACATCCCACCACCTAAGTGCGACCATGTGCCCACTCCAGATCCTATATATGCATGTGTCATGAGAATGTTATAAGTGAGTGTCTAGGTTGTATATTACAATTAGAGCCCAGGACCCCACCAGCCACGGAGATGGATGATTATCCCCGTAGCTCAGTAGTGCACCTGAACCCCAAAACCCTGTTTGAGTGGTGGTGTGGTGGAGTGGGCAGAGGAGGATGTCGGGATGGGGAGGTGAACTGAGGTGGCAATGCCCCCCAAGGGGACCAGCTCCCCCACTGACCCCAATAGGCACCCCCACTCTCTGAGATCCACCAGGGGAGAGAGGCTCTAAAAGAGATGCCTAGGAGGAGGTGGCAGCCGCACCACCAGGGATCAAGGCCATGGACCGGCACATAGCCCCCGAGGACCAACCAGAACCAGGGCCAGCAACCCAACCCCATCCCGAAACCGTCCAGACGCCCCAACCCGATTCCCAGCCCAACACCCAGCCCCCCAACCAGAGAGGCCACCAAACCCCAACCGGGACAATCAGCCAGGAGTGCCCAAACATTCAGAGATAGAGCACTACAGCGACCAAGAGCGCCCTCCCCCCCACCCCAAAAAGCAAGAGACCAGTCCACCCATAACAACACCCACAGCGAGAGCGCCCCATGCAAGTGAGGGCACACACCCAGCGAGCCCAGACTCCCCCGGTCCCACAGCACAGAGCCACCCACACGAGAGCCCCCAATATACCCCACCCCAGTCACAGCCCCCCACAGCCCAACCCCCCAGCCAAGCACCACGCCGCGGCCACTACCAGGCAAGAAGACACCCAGGTTGAGCCTGCCCGTCCCCTCCCACAGACCCCCCCCCAACATCAACAGTCCCACCCCCCCAACGGCACAGGCCCCAAAGCCCACCAACACACCAAAGGCCCCAAGGCCAGGGCCTGTAGCCAGCACAGGCCATCACCGAGAACCACCAGAGCCACCTCCCCAGTCGGGCGCCACCGCTCCAGGGCCCTCCGCCTCCCACCCCCCACCATGGCCGCAGCCCCGACACCCCACCCACACTGACCACCATGCCCCACGGGACAGAATCAAAGGGGACCACCCACCTCCACTACGTGTTGGAGCCGATTAAAGAAGTCCAGAGTGAATAGTCCGATGTGGGGGTACAGGCTGTCTCAAGACTGATGTAATCCAACAGAAGGTCTTTATACTGTTTATTACTAAGTGTATTTTAATTTTTCCAATTCATGAGTATAGTTTTTTTTTTGCTATACATAAGGCAGTGAGAATCATATGAATTGATTTTGTCTCCAAGGTGACATCATCTAAGTGGCCCAATAAGCAAACTGACGGAGAGAGTGGAATATTACATCTCTTTGATAAGTCACTTTGACACTTTGATAAGTCTTCACATATCCGGCACCAAAACCTCTGAACAGGTGGACAGAACCAAAATGTGTGGATGTAATTGTCAGGAATATTGTCTGTACACAGTGAGCAAATATTAGATGATGCGAAACCCGTCTTGAACATCCGTTGACCTGTATAGTGTACTCTATGAAGGATGTTGTATTGTATTAGTTGTAAATACGAGTTTTTAATCATCTTAAAAGTTCTCAGACAGATCTGCGACCAAAAGTTTTGGTCAAAATTAACTGACAAGTCTGTCTCCCATTTTACAATGGGAAGAGATATAGATTCATCTATTTTACTGAGTTTCTGATAAACCTTAGATAGTAATTTGGGAGGGTTAAGATTAAGGAATTCTAATACACTTGTTGACATTTCAATCCTAGTGTTATTAAGGTTAAATTTATTTTTGGTTATAGATTTAATTTGTTGATATTCTAAAAATGTATTCTTATCAATCCCATATTGTGTTATTAATCTGTTAAATGGGATGTAGTCCACTTCTTCATATACAGGTCCTTCTAAAAAAAATTAGCATATTGTGATAAAGGTCATTATTTTCCATAATGTAATGATAA